TTTATTTTTTTAAGGAGGGAAAGGAGGAGGAAGGGGGTGTTAACGGTTTAGGGCGTTTTTTTTAAGGGTCTTTTTCGAGGCGCCGGCGGCGGCGGCGTTCAATTTTGAGGGGGTTTTCCGGGAAAGGGGGAGGCTTGCCCAGGTGCTTTCCAATTTTTTTTCCCCGGTTGGGCTCTTTTTTTCCCGGGAGGGGGGGTGTCCTTTTTAAAATCCCGTGGGTTTTTTAAGGTTTTGGAAATTGGGACGTTTTTTTTTTCCCTTTTGTTCCCCGGGGGGGGTTGAAACCCCCGGGGTTACTCCCCCTTCCTTTTTTTTTATACCAGGGCAAAATTTCCCATCCCAAAAACAAAATTTCCCGAATTTCATAAAAGAAAAAAGTCCCAACACCCCCCCCCCCCCCCCCAGAAAAGCTCCGTCCCGGCATTGTATTGTAGGGGTGCGAGGTCAATCGCCCCACGGCATGCATGTCATCCAGTACCCCCCCCTCCCAAATGGCAATAACACGACGGGACCAAGTTGCGGGAGGTGTTCAATGCGACGAGAAAACACAACCAGCGGGTCCTCGTGATTGCTCTCAAGCCGCCGCGAGACCTTGTAGAGGTTTTGCTAGAGAGCGGGGGGGCATCGTGGTGGGGTAGAGCCACGGGGAGGGGGGGTGGGAGGCGCGGGCGCAGCCCGTACAAGCACATCGATTTGTTCCTTTCCGGGGGGTTCAACGGTGCGCTCAGGGGCCAAGGAGAGGGGGGGGAGGGTAGTGGCTCCGGGCACTCTCTTCGGCGGCAGTGGCATCGTAGGTGAGAGGGGGCGAAATATGTGTTATTCTTGTATTTTTATTGTCTCCACCACGGTCAGGGTTCATTTTTTGGCGTGTCGCTTGTAGATGGATACCACGCACGAGTTTTGTTGAAGCGCAGTCGAGGATGTGCTTTTTTATGTCCGAGACGGATATATCCTACTCGCTTTCAGGCAAAGTTGCGTACACGTTGGCACAATTTTTTTTATATCTTCCGGCATGCGCAGCTGCGTGCATGTTGTTTTGCTTGAGTTATTGTTGGTTTAGACGCATGAACGGAGTGAAGAAATGAAATAACCAGGAAGAGAGAACTGCTGTTTCATCAACATGCCAATCATCAACGGCAAACAACACCATCAACAACAGCCTCAAAACACACATCTAACCCGGACTCTTGCGTGCCGTTGGCAGGCCCTCCGCGGGAGGCGACGAGGAGCTGTCTAGAGAGGACGTGGAGGAGGCCTTGGCGAGGGTCAACCGGGTGCTCGTCGTGCAGGTGAAAAAGAGAGGGGCCACGCAGATTGGATTTTCCTCAGAACAACAATTCGCAACATGTGAAATTTAGGTTCAGACGTGATCGGGGTTTTACATGTACCCCCCCCGGCGTTCGAAATGCACCCCACGGTGCCACCGCCGTTTATTGCTCTTGGGGTTGCATGAGCACGACAGCCACGACACCGACGCTGACCAATGACAAGTCTCAAACCACCTTTAACAACACGCCAAAACAACCGCCAAAAATCACCATGCCCCGAACAACGACAGCTGGAGGATCTGGTCCGGCCGTACGGCTTTCCGAGGGCCATCGCCCCCGACCGCACGCCGACCCTCGCGGCGGCCGTGGCCGGGGCGCGAGGCGTTCTTCCCTCCTGCCTGAGGCGCGAGATCGCCGCGTCGAACCACCTGGCGCTCACGGAGTTCCCGGACAAGGTGGCCTCGGCCATTAAGGCGGGAAGGTGGGTGGTGGGCGGACTTGCGTGCGTATGTTCTGCTTTTGTACTCTATGTGTATCACTGATCGCACAGGCCGACTTCCGCAGCTCGATTGCTCCATAACCAAGACGGTGCCGATGCCAGAGAGAGGTTTGCACCGTGAAAGACTCTCTCTCTTGTTAGGAAACAGAGCAGTAAATGGGACCATGGGGTATGTGTGTTGACGTTTGTATCCGAATGGTTTTTGATGTATTTCAAACAGAGTGGTATAATAGTAGGCTGCAAGACCGGTGTGAAGCTGGAGGCAGGGCGGGCGGGCGGACAACGAACAGAACGGGGTGGTATCGAGGCTACTTGTCGCGTCGAAACCTCACGTTTTTGCTTTTTGTCTTGCGCCGAATCAAACACGCTACAGTCCTTTATTGAGTACCTTTTTGTTATCTTCTTTTTCACTCGGGCATGTCCTCTTGCATGTTGGCCCTTGACGTCGGAGATATGGACAGGTAGTGGCTGTGAATGGCTCAGATTCCTTGTTTGCCGGTCTCCCTGCAGTCACATGACCGACCGCGCGACTCGCCCTTGCTGCCGAACACCCCAGGAGGCCCGCTTTCCCACTGCCCTTGGGAGAGCCCTTGACCGTGTTTCGAACGGCCGATTTTGCGCACAAGGCCTTGTTGCGCAACCGTTTTCTGTTGTTGACGTGGTTTTGTTGTTTTTTGGGGCGCGAAATGCTGCCCGTGTTCTTCTTTATGGTCCTGCTGTCGACTGGGCGCCATCAGTTACTCACTCACACGTTCACTTACTCTTTCACTTCCTCGGTCACTCACCCATTCACTCACGTATTCCCGCACTCACTCACGTACACACCGTCGTTCCACACGCTCGGGTAAAGGGCAGGAAGTGCTTCGAGGCAGTTGTGTCGGACATGTCTATTTATTTCACGCCACGCCGCACTTCACCGTCGTCAATATGTGTGCATGCTTACACCACAATATATTCCCATGGTTGTGTGCGTACATACGCTTAGGTATAACTCATTGGCATGCGCATGTGCCACACTACAATCTCATCGTTGAGCGCATACATTTCCCCCCGCCCCATTCGTTTTCCAGGTACGCCAACGAGGAGCTACGAGTAACGGCGTCGTCCATCGCAGCGGCGGCAGTGGCCGAGGAACCCGGCATGGGCAGGGGGAGGGTGGCCGAGCTGGGCGCCTGCATGGCCGACCTCATCGCCTCCGACTTCGAGGCCCTAGAGATGGCGGGTCTCAGGTACAGTCACGGCTCCGATTTAAGAGGGTACCTTGCAAGGGGGGGCTTCGAGATAAGTTTGTCACGGGCTGTACGCAGTTGGGTACCCTCCCCTTCCGGCCTTCCGGTGTAAGAGGGGGCTCAGATATAGGAGGGTCGGGGGCCTTTGCCAACCCATCCTCTTATATCGGAGCCACCGCGACTGCTGTCAGGGGGGTGCGAGCACGTTTTTTCGTTTTCGTCCTCCGGGAAGGCGTGTTTTTTTTTGCTCTTGCACGACCGAGGGGTTTGTTGGCGACGACAAGCCTCACGCGAGCCGGAACTATTGAAGGAGATACATGACTCCTTCGTTTGTTTGTTTGTTTTGTTTTTTTTTGCCGTCGGCTCTCCCCACCGAAAGAAGAAAAGAAGGGCCGCCGTGCTCACCCTCATGTTTCACGCACCTACCCGCCTGTGTCTTACCACCTCCTTGTGCGGACGTTGCCGTACCCGTTCTCTAGGGGGAGGGCTCGTGAATGAACGCGTTTGCGAGAACGCGATTTTCTTTGTCGTGGATTCGCAGCTTGGTTGCCGTGGACAGAAATAGTCCAAGTTGGCGCAGTTTGACATGCTGAAGCAGCAGATATTCTCCTTGCGTTTTTTTCCCTGCATGACGCTTTGACACGAACCATCATTTTTTACAAACCCAAACAACGCACCCCCTCGTTTCCAACGACAACGAACAGCCCGGGGACGCAGCAAGCAGTCTTCCGGTCCCTTGACGTTGGTATGGCTCTCTCGGACGTGGCCGCGGCGTGGGCGCTGGTGCGCCAGGACGCGGTGTGCTGGGAGAGCTGTCCCCGCGTCGGCTTGGATCACTCTGCGGGCCGCCTCATCTCCCTTGGCGATGGGGCGAGAGGGGAAGAAACGGGGGAGAACAGCAGTGGTCGACGTGGCGGGAGTAGCAGTAGCGGCGACAGCATTGAAGGTGAGGGCATCGTGCACCATTGGGCTTAGGTATTGGTTGGTGTTGTTTCTTTCGGTGTTGCGTTGGGTGCGATTGATGCGGCATCGGCTTCATTGAAGGTTAGACATCGTGCACCATTGAGCTTTGATATTTGGTTGGTGTTGTTTCTTTGGGTGTTGCATTGCGTATGATGGGTGCAGCAGCGGCGGCAGCATTGAAGGTCAGGCATCGTGCACCATTGATCTTTTGCGTTTTTTGTGTTGGAGGGCTGCGGCGAGCCCCTGTATAATAACCCGTTTCTTGGTGGCTGGGAGAACCCGTGTTATAGTTTCGTAGGATGCTGAATGGTCTTCACTCCATTCAATTTTGATGTCGGATCTGCGCACGTGTCATTGCCCGATGGGAATTGTTGCCCTCATAGTACGCCAGGAACGACCCCCCCCCCAGTACTGGCGGTGCCGCTCATGCGGGCTATATCGGTGCTCCGCTCCGAAAGGGATGCTTGGTTGTTGCCCAACGACGAAGGCAAGCAAGAAATACTGGCCTGTTTGCCCCTCTGCTGCCTTGCATGCCTTGGCCGAGGCAGGTTCCGCGGGACGCGCCGGGGGTGATGATGGCGATATTGTTGAAGACGGGGGAGACCCCCGGCGCAGAACGAGAGGGAAAAAAGGCGACGCTAGAGGCGGTAAAGGGGAGCAGCAGCAGCGGGGGCAGGAAGAGGAGAAGATTGTAGTGCGCAGAACTGGCGACGGTTTGTGCGGTAGTTGTGTTGGAGGATTTTTGGCTACGGGCTTCGCGGACGGGTTCGAAAAATTGGAAGACCAAGAAGCCGGGTATGGTGCGTTCGCGGTGTTCATCGTCCGGGTTCTGGATCAGATGCCCTGACAGTGTGACAGTTTAAACTGTAATATCTGCTATTAGTTGCAACAGCGTTAGGGAGAGCGTTACGTGCCTTGCGGGGTACCAGGGCTGTCCGTATCGCACGTATTCCCGGCACGATCGCGTTAGGGAGTAATGAAGAGCAGTGTACAGTGGTGTGTCAACCAACGGTCTTACATCTCGGAGGAAATAACTAGGTAGAGCGGTGTGATGGGTGACAAGCCGGTGGGAGGAGGAGTCTGCTGCGGCTGTGGCGAGGAGACGGAACAAAACAAAGCCGAACAAAGAAGTGGACCTGGTCACTCACAACGTGGAGTGGTCAGGGCAGGGAGAGGCAAGGGTGGTGGCGGCGGCAGTGCCGCGCCGGAGGCCAAGTTGTCTACGGACGACGACGCGAGTCCTGCTCGGGTGATTGTGAGCGAGGTGGTTCTTGGCTCAACTCAGACGCCGCCCCGAGTATGGGAAGGCGCTGTCCACTGCGGCATCAAGTCTAGACTACAGCAGTAGTGCGGACGCCTGCCGTGGAAACACCTTCAGACCTTTTCTCACGCCGAACGAAACAATAACAGTTCAGCAAGCCTGCCAAGCACTATTTTCTTGTTATTGGACAAGGGTGGGACCCATCACCACCGCCAAAGGTTGTGCCTGTCTTGTCGTCGGTGCGGTGCTGCTGCAACTACTGCTGCGCCTATTTACCGCTACTGCGGTAGGCTATTTTGTCTACTGCTGTACTGACCCCCCTATTCGATGTTGCTCCCGCCGCTGTTTCGAATTTGTGCGAGACACGCGTCCATACGCCGCCGAATGTGTTCGCCTGTGAAATTCTTCGGCCTCGAATCTTCCACGGCCGGAGCTGTGCGCTTGGATAGTAACAATGCCGACTCACACATGCCGAGAATCATTTGAGACAAATATTGAAGACTGATGTGCTAAAAAGCTGACCTTCTAAGAACCAACGGTGAACGGCAGATCTTTCGTGCGATCAATGAACGGCAGATCTTTCGTGCCATCAAATGGGAGGTGAGGTTTGGTACGACAGCAGTCACTTCCTTTTGCCTCCTCCAGCTTTGCATACACCATCCGATCTACCTTGGCCACCTCTCACTCGGTGCTGTTTGGCAGGTGATAGCGGAAAGAAGGTGTCTGCTGGTAAATTCACCATCTGCGGCAATCTAGTAATCAGGTATTAGGTGCACCTGGGTCTGTTGTGCACACGTCATCTACGAAATCTACGAACCCGCTCAGTCCGTTGTTCTGATTAATTTTGGGATTTTCCGACTTGGACACATCGGAGATCGTAAGTATGTCACCACATTTCGGGGCGGGAACTCGGGGCGCACAACTCCGGTCAAGACCCACCCTCACCACCTTCGCACCCCTACTGATGCTGGATTTTCCCTCGGTGGTTCGGCCCTTCGGAGCAACCGGCCGAACTACTGCAACTTGCGGAGACGAAGGGCGAACATGGTATGTGTGTGCAGCAGCAAGATATGTATGTCCCGGTTCGTCTTGTGGGCTAGTGGCCGGGTAAGGGCCCAGCAGTACAGCAGTGGTAGGTGGTGCTGCACCGGAGTGCTTGCAAGTGCAGGCAGCCTCCACCGTGTAAACAACGCATCAACAACGCATCATCGAACAGCAGGTCAGCCGAGGGAAAGCAAAACTACTGTACAGACTATCGACTGTTGACGGCAGTGACTAAAATCTCAGGCTGCTGTACAAGACGTTTCCGACATGTAGCAAGAGCAGGCGTTGGTGGCGGGCTATGTACGCTGCTGTTATACGTCATGTCTCGCGATGGACATGTGCGTAACTACATACCTGCCGCAAAGTAGTCCATTTCCAGCCCACTCTGTCTCTCCTCTGGCATAAACGAGTAGGCCAGCCGATCAAGCACAGATATCATATCGCACCCATCAACCACATGTTCACGTATACAGTTTACTGCTGTGGTCTCGCCTCATGTCTAGTAAAGGGGGATATCCCATGAATTTTCTCGCTGCAAAAGGTCAAGCCTCGCTTTTGAATGGGATGACACACACACTCGATAGTTGCTATGCTACCGCGGTCTACTCTGGCGTGTGTACCCGGTGCTTCCTAACTAAAAGTAAGTATATCAAGATAGTCTACCGTATGATAACTGTACCCAGAGAGGCAGGTCAGACTTGTCTCCGTTTTCAATTTTAGAATAATTCTTTCCTGCCAAAATATCTGCAAAAAACATGTGATTGGTGATTGGGGCTCATGTATTTAGCCCTTACGTGACTACACCCCCGAATCGGGCATGTTAGCAGGCACGATAACTCTTATATGCGACAACTTTCGAACCGAATTGAGCTGTGGATACCTGCGTCGACGACGGCTCGACGGTACGACTAGACCGCTCGAAAAGAAACAAAGTAACGACCGGGGACAGAAACAGCACGTCCCCTATACAGAAAATTGAAAGCCTGGGAGTTGCAATGCTCCGCAGCACCCTGCATCCCGCGCTGCTGCTGTGCTGCTGTGGACCTCAGTCCAGCACGCAGAAACGCGATAATGATGCTGTTTTTCCTCCTGCTTGTTGCGATTTTTCGCACGAGCGCTATGGACGGGGTTCCTGTGTATCACGTTCGCAAGGAACAGGAGCTAGCTCCCCAGCCGGCTGCGTTGGGCCAACGGGTACAGCAGCACATCGATGGATCTGCGTCGCGCATCATTTGCAGCACAGAATTGACAAGAGGTGGGAGGGTTATGGTCTTGCCCGACCGCGCTGGTGTGTATACCGTAAAGCCGGATGGCCACTGCGGGTTTAGTGCGATGTCCGCGGGTCTGCAGGTTTGCCTCGGTAGAACAAGGGCCGCCCCCACCCCAGAGAACATGAGGAGCGTGGTCGCCCGTCGAGCCACGGAACATGTTCTTGGCGCATCCGGTGTTGAGGACTTGACAGCTGTACTCTCACCAGACCAGCTTGGGCGGGCCCGGAGTGTGCGTATACCGGATGTTTTAGGAGCTGCCGTGGAAGAAATGACGGCGCCGGAGGATAAGACGGTCGGTTGGTTTCGCGAGAAAGCCCAGCTAAGTGCAACAACAAAATGGATTGACGTGACCTGGTTCTCTTTTCTGGCGTCGGAGTACGGGGTGAACATCATGTTGTGGGAGCCAAGCCCCACGTACGGCACAGTTCAGCCGTACTCAGCAGCCCTCACGGCAGGCATGTTCTTGTTCGAGAAAAAAGACAAAATGGACGAGGAGGGGGATCGCTGGGTGCATCTGCTCTATCGGAAACACGACGATCCGTGGGCAGCGCGCGAGGGTGTAGGTGAGGCAGGCCATAAACAGCACAACCACTTCGACCGTCTGCAGCTTGGACTCAACGTACATACTTCCTTCATCGATGTCGTCAGAGTTGCAAAGGAGAAAGCGCTAGGAATGGCGGCGCCGGTGCCGTCGGCGAGCGCCACGGCCGGGAAGAAAGCGCCAGGGTCCGCAAAGGTGGACGGAGAAGAGGTGGACGATCCCGAGTTCAGCATGAGACCAAGCGGCAGCAACAGCAACAACAGCAGCAGCAGCAGCCGGCAAGCGGAGGGAAAGGCTGCAGCGGGAAAGAAAAGCAAGGCGAAGATCGGGAGTAAGGTCGGGGTGAAGCGACCAACCGAGAGGCAGCCAGGGGACAGCAAGAGGCACAAGGCGGGGGGTGCACCGGGGAAGCAGCGCAAGGCGGTTGGTGTGCCGGGGAAGCGCAAGGCGGGGGGTGCACCAGGGGAGGGGAGGGGTGCCGCAAAGAAATGCAAGAGTACGCCGACGGGTAGGAGGAAATCGGTGAAGAGCAACGGCCAAGTAGACGAAGCCAACTATGATTCCGACGGCAGCATCGGGGGGGGGGACCACGAGCGAACCCAGGGCTCCTTCGCTAGCATGTCGCAGAACGAGAAGAAGGTGGTGGCCGCCATGAAGAAGATCCAGGAGCTCAAGTACAGGCGGGCGTACTTGCTGAGCAACAAGAGGAGGGCGCGGGGTCTAAAGGTGGGTTTGTGTTCGTGTAGACTTTTCTCTTGGCATTTTCCAGGCGAATAGGCGGACCTAAGAGAAGACGACGATTTATGGTGGTGCAAAAGTTGAGTCCGATAAATAGTGCGAATCAATACTGCTGTAGCAGTTTCTTGCGTTTTTTTTTTCGCTTGGAATACCGAGTAGAGAGTGCCCTATCAACGCTGAACAAACGCGTGTCTAGGTAGGCACTTTGTTTCGCCTCGTGTGGTCGCTAGTCTCTACCAAAAATAATCTTAGAAGTGTTGGTAAAAAGCACCTGGTTGCTTGCATGATCATGTTGACGCCTCCGTGCCTGGCTCCTGTTGCTCAACACGGGTGTGGTTTCCAATGTTGGCAGGGGGGCAACGAATGTCGAGTTCACGATTCGGAGTATGTAAATGCATGTGCGTGACCTGAACACCCTACTGGCCCTGTATGGTGTTACTTTTGATCGCCGTGTCAGTTTCATGTGAATCTCTCGCTCGCTCGATTCGTAGGTGTTAGTGACACCGTCGCCTCGTACGACTTTATTTTTTTTCGGATGATTGAACACAACACGGCAGGGTATGAATTGACACACCTGCCGCTCTGTTTCCGCTGTTTGCCGACGACGTGCTCAACCCAGCTCAAGGCCATACGCGACAGGGAGAAGGAGAGGCTCAAGAAAGCGGCAGAAAAGGAAAAAGAAAACCAGCTTCGGCCGCGGCAGGAGGTGGAGGAGGAGGAGCGACAAGAGAGAGAGGAGCTAGAGAAGCAGCAGCAGCAGGAGCAGGAGGAGTTGAAAGCTGAGGCGGAGGAGTACCCGGAGGTGGCGTGGACTGACCGCGGCATTCCTGACTTTGCGGGAACGACGGACCACAAGAAGAGAACCCGGCGGCAAGCGGTCAGCGCTGCTTCGCTGTCGGCGTCCGCGCGATCGAAGTTGCCCTCTCTCGATACCTTCATGGGCGGCCGCGACGAGAACGGAGAGTTCCCGCTGAGTGGTTTGATGAAGACGT